AGAGCGCACAGGGCTGAATCCGACCCGGAGTCCACACATTAAAAGCAGAATAGTGGCTGATGCAAGCAACAGAGAAAACAGGCGCATGCTTCATTTCTAAGTGAGTTTTGAGCCCATAGCCAAAAGGCAATGAAAATTAATTTCACTGAAAAACTTACATATAGTCCCTTTAACTGTTTTAAATTTTTCAGACTATATTATGCTTCAATATAATGTAATGATTTATTTTGAAATGTTGTATTTGTGAATGTTGGCCTAATATTTTTTAAATAAGATAAAGAGGTTCAAATAGGCTTTTATTTTACAATGAAAATCAATCTTTTCATAATAGAATATATTTATTTTTCATAAATATCTAGTCATAATATTCGAAATCTAACCAAAACACTTGACTTGATTTGACTGTGAGGGTGACCGGCCAGAGTTCACGCCCTGTCGGAGTGGAAGTGGCAATGGTCTAGCTTCGAAAAAAGGCTCCATATGTGACAAGTCAGCATAAACATCCGAATCCAATGACTCTCACAACACAACAAACACAGTCCTACACATTCGTACATGAAGCTGAGAGCTCTGCGCTGCTCCTTCAGCTCCTGCTGCTACTGCAGTTAATTTGTCCCTACTGCTATCAGACTATGCAACCATCACTATTCTAATCAGACCAAAACTCAACGTTTTGCACACTTTGTTTTAGTTGTAATAATTTCTTCCTGCCAACAGTACTATGTACAGACAGAAAAAACTTTATCTTCCCTGTGATTCTTATGTTGGTTGACTTGTAACCTCTGTAACATCAGGGATAAAGGATAAAAACTCAGGCGCATTTACAGCAGTGTGCACTGTACCAATAAATACAAATTAAATACATTCTATTCCATGAAGTACAAGTTTTGTTTGTACAGACTATGTACAGAATATTATTTATCTCAACTTGCTCATTTTATCACTTATTTGTGATTTTATTTTAATACAGCTTGTGTGTGTGTGTGTGTGTGTATATAAAATGTACCATTTTATTTTCAGTGCTTGATTTTGTACAATGTAGACCGTATTGTAGTTGTATCAACTATCTATGAATATGTCCTTGCAGCTGGTGAGACACTATTCATCACAGTGCATTGTGTCCAACACGTTCTCATCTCAATGAGTCATAACTGACGCTTTCAGCCAGCGTGACAAAGCGTAAGGATTTTACGCTAAAGGTACCCTTCAGCGTCCATATGAAACGCCCCCGTTTCCTACGTTGCAGCAACACAAGGGAGGCTAACCCTACCTGTACCTTGATAGAACAGATTTGATCAAATACAAACGATAAGTCAGGCATGCAATTCCCTTTCCAACATTTATTAACTGCAAAACAATCTTTATATCATTCTACGACAAATAAGAAACTGAAAATGTCTGCCTGCATGCAAGTTACATCTTGACAGCATAAAGAATATTATAGATGTGGAAACACCATCTGTGAAAAATCCCAGCACAGATACATACAGTGAATACTCACTTTGCTTACTCAAAGAAAGTTAGATAACCAGCAATGTTACTAAGAGTAGTTTACTAACCACACCTCAGACATTTACATATTATGAATGTAGCAGAGGAATGAATGGAGTGTTATTTACACTTCGTAAATAAACAGCATATCAATTTGATTTTTGACAGTACCAAAGTCCTGTCCACTGTATCCTCACTTGCCTTTGTCTTTCCAAGTAGAGCGATAGAGCATGTTTCACTGTGCTTTTTTTCACCTGGATAAAAACCTTTAACATTTGTCAGTAGTACTTGTCAAAGTAGTACTTGTCAAAATTGTAACATGGCAGCTAGCCACAGTTCCTCTGTCACATATTGTCAGTCTTAATGGAAAAGATGTAATATCTATCAGGTAATGTACAGTATCTTTCATGCCACCAGGATAATCAGAAATACATACATGAATGTTCCATTTTTTAAAACACTGGCAGACATGTTAACATATACAATATTACATACTATGCCTTTCATTGATAATGTTGGAATTTGCCTGCAAATATGCAACTTCATGCACAGGAAATGCTGCATGTCAAAAGCAAAAGCCAGTGGCTGTGGCTCATTAGCCAGTCAGCCAAGTTCCAGTATCCACAGCAGATTTGACAAAGAAATAGATATTAGACGATCTTCCAATGTTTAAGGTTCAGTGTGTCATATTTCTGAGGAACAATTGACATAACTATGTTTTCAGTGGTGTATTAAGACCTTACATAATGAATGTTATGTTTTTATTACCTTAGAATGAGCCATTTCTATCTACATAACTGCTCGCCCCTCCTTCCATGGAGGTTGCGCCGTCATGTTTCTACAGTATCTGAAAACAGACAAACAGCGCTACAGAGCGTTTTTCGTCACTACGTTCTTCTTGTTCTACTTCTGGTAGAATGAAGGGAGTGTAGCTGCTCATCACTATGTTGAATACTTACGTTCGAATAAGAAGAAGAGTTTTGCATCAGAGCAATTTTTCAACCAAGTGGGTGAGAATATAAAGCAAAATATTGGAAGTCATTGATGCAGTATTCAGTTAGCTCAGTTGGTAAAGCACAGGATGTCACTTCAAAGGTTGTGTTTGATCCCACCTTTGAGACAATTTTTTTCTCTCTTCAACAAATGGATTCTGCAGCGACTGTTTGCCATGCTCACATTACGGCATGTGCTGCAGTGTGTGTGTTTCGGTGTTTCATCCGCATTCATCAACCTACGGACGGTTTTTCATTTCCCCAGTATCTCCAGGCAGAGGACATTTAGGGGACACACGTTTTCTGACAGCTCCTGTGTCAAGCAAGCAACAGTCTCTTTTTAATGTCGTTCAGAATTTTTCAAAGTAAAAGCTCTCAATTCAACTCCAAATAAGGCATTATAGCAAACAAGACTTTTATTTTGTAAGGAAAACCACTAAAGAGGAAGTGATTATGTGAGTAACTGTTACTGCCATGACTGAGATCTATTTCAGCACCTCTCCCAAATTATTAGTGCGTCAGCACAAACCGTGCAAATTGAAACTGAAGAGATTTTCTCTTTATTTATTTTTTCTGCAAAGTAACCTCAATTTTGGGGGCCTAAACATATTTGAAAACTCACTAAACTTTGCACATAATTCAGACGTGGCGAAAAATTTTGTATTTTATGGGTGTCACATGGGTGGCAAAATGGCTCGTTAGTGCCCCCTACAGAGCAGCCCCCAGACAAAGTTTCACCTACGTGTACAAAATTTCTGTGGTACGTGTATCATGCCAGACACACAAAAAAGCCTCTTGGAACCCATGGGAACTCGGCCATTTTGGATTTAATAGTCATTTTTGGCGATTTACACACTTTGTACTTTAACGAACTCCTAGGGATTTTGTCCGACCGACATCAGATTTGTACTGTGCAGTCTAAACCCATTGACGATTAAAAGTTGTGCAAACGGTGAGTTTTCGTGGAATAGCTCCCTGTAGCATGGCACCCAAAAACGATGATTCATCATAAAACAGCAAGGTATTGTAACTTCAGTGTAAATGCTCACATCTGCACCAAATTTGGAATGACATTATAATAGTCCCGCCCTGAACACATCCATATGCCAATATTCACTCAAAGTCATAGCGCCACCTGCTGGCAACAGGAAATGACATTTTTATGCTGTAATGTACTGCTCCAAGCAGGTTCAACATCAACTTCAAAACTGTCCCAGAAAACACTTAACACATTGATGAAGCCATGTTGTCAAACTTGTGAGTTTGCAGTTAACTGCGCGCGGGTGGCGTGGTGGTGAAGTTAAACTCTTTGCCATGACACAGGAAGTTGTTGTAACTTCAGTCTACATGCTCACATCTGCACAAAACTTTATATGCATGAATACTGTCCTGCCCCAAACACATTTACATGCCAATATTAATTTATAGTTGTATCATCAAGTGCTCTAGGGCGCCACAAAGGGGTCACAGGAAGTGATGTATGTAACACATTCATGCAGCGTCTGAAGCGTTTAGCAAATTCACCGCCACACCGGCAGAGCTCCAGAATCTGCAACTCGGCTTTAAGAGCAAGGGCCCGCCCAACTCTGCTTGCGGCTTTAATTTATTTTTAGCTGCTATCAAAGCACGTTGCTATATGCCGCCACTGGGTGTCACCAGATCCATCAAAACACCAACAATCTAAAGAATTTCAAAACAACATAATACCACAGTTTACCAGTAACTGTGACATGTAAATTATTCATCACCTAAATACCTGATCTATATTTGAAGAGATTGATCAAAGATTAGACTGAAATTTGATTCCCCTCTACGTACCAAAGAGATAAAAAGAACAGCTGACCCTGAATCAGCACCTGAAGCACTTACGAACATGTGGTCTTTTATAATGCTTTACATAATCTCCAATAAACTTTGACTGCTGTGTTCAGCAATGGGTTGCTTTGATGCCAAAACCAGAGGAAAGGAAGTAAAAAACACACACACTCTCTCACTTCCTTTCCTCCTTTCTGCTTTTCCTCACCCTTGTCTGTCTGACAGAACTTTGCAGAGAGGGGATGTTGACTGAGACATGTCAGGAGAAGTCAGGCTTTGTAAAGACTGGCATGACATCCCGTTTTACCCTTTAACATGCTGGCCCTTTGAGGTCTCATGGAACCATATTTGGTGTCATTTTACAACAGAGTTGTATAAAGAGATGAAGTTTGTAGTTCCCTTTATGCTACCCACAAAAAGCAAAGGTCATACAGAAAAATGATATAATTACATACAGAAATAAAACTATTTCACATAGTGCTGAGGATGACTTTAGGAATCTCTCAGCCTAGGGGAAGAACCCTGAAGGCAGCGGAGTGAACAGGCTGTGGCTGGGTCGGTACTGTCTTTTAATATACTTTAGTAACGGATGACAGTCACAGCTAGGAGACAAAGACCCCACTCAAAGTTTTAGTCAGCCCCCCTGCTGCAGTCACATAGATATGGAGTTGCCATTGAGGTGGCTCAGAGTAGGAATGAGGCCTAAACTGAGAGTGGGTTGCGGGGAGTGGGCTGACAGGTCCTATTGAGGTCAGAGGTCACACTGAGGTTATTGAGGTTGGGCATAGGATCGAAAGAAGTTGATGATGAGGTGTTGCTGTTGGTCAAGCGGCGGAAGACAAAGTGGAAGGGAACGGCTTCTGAGTGGCTGTGAAGCTCAGCCTTGATCTTCTGAGGGTGGGTGTCTGGTGCCAGCTGCTGGCTGCTGCCCTCCAACAGCAGGAACAAGCCGTACTTCTCAGGGTCTGACACTTTAAATTTTAGCGCACATAGCTGACACACCTCCTCCACAGTGGCATACGGTCGGACCTGTAGGGTCTTGGCAGTACAGCCGCTGTCCAGCTCCTGCAGTGCCACCCGCAGGTAGTTCTGAGGGACAGTCAGAAAAAATACACAATTAGACAAACATTGTAGCTCTGCAACTATGCAGCAATGTACATAGCATCCCTAGCTCCTTTTTTGAGCGTATCTGAGTGTTATTTTTTATAATTGTTATTTATTATAATCTCATCATGTCTTGCTTCGTATTAATGTTCGTTCTTTAAAAAGTTATCAAACTAAAATATTTGTAGTGGGACAACAGTGTGGATTTGTGCATTTTATATTGAATAAATTTGGAGCTACTCCAAATTCCTCTTTTCCTCTCCCAGAGAGGAGCAGGGGGTTAAAGATCAACTTCAACAGACTGTTGAAGAGACCCCAACGGAAGGGGGGGGGTGGAAAAGTTGCTTTCTTTAAGTGCTATGCCTGTTGATCGTAAAACTGGCGCCTTTTTGATCTACAAAGCTGATAAAGCGGTGCCTGTTAAACTGACAAAAGGGACACGAACCAGCGATTAGCATTTCCCTGAACAGCCTATCAAAACTGCGCCCCCACGCATGTAACCGTGGCAACTATCCTGGGTCTGTGTTCATTACCCCATCAAAGGGATACTCCTTGTCTCACCCACTTGTGACATAACCCAGGAAGCCGAACTTTAAATAACCAAAGACTGAGTCTGCAAAGACTCAAAGCATTTAATTAAGTTTAATTAAATCTTTTAGTTACTTGATTACGTTTGCCTCTATTTGAGTAGTTATGTTACCATGTTGTTGCTATTTGTTGTTATTAGTGCTGAAAAGAATCTAAATAAGTTACTTTTGCAGTGTTTTTATTTTCAGCAAGACACTCCCTCATCTAATGGAATCAATGCTTGTTCATAATACTTTCCCACAAAATTCCTTTAGAAATGATGATAAAGAAATGTCATACTATACTCTAGTAATTATCCAGCTTGAATTTAAGGTTGAATTCCCCATTTCCTAAGGAAAGATTGTTTGGATTAATCTAAGCTTTCCTCATGTAACTTGAGCTCCCCCAAGTGGACGAAATAAGTATTACATACCATCGTTGGAAACGCCGTCAATGTATAAATATCTTGACCAATAATGTGACAATTGTTTCCTGTTACCAAATGCTTAACTGAGGTTTGATTGTGGAAAATATATGATTATAATACGTGCAAATAGATTTCTTCTCTTTTAGATATTAAGTTTAGAAAGGCAGTCCCTCGGGAAACCTGAAACGCCCTCTGGAGAGCCACGCCCCAGGCAACAAAAGAGTGACACGCGACGTTGTTCACTCTCGCTCTCTCTTCTCTTCTCCTCCCCTCGTGCCCTGGTCTTCCACTCTGCTCTCTGGACGCTTCGGCACGCGTCCGGCGTGCCTCGCCAGGCAACGCCTAAGAGTCAGCCAGCGCAACAGGCCTTGTTCGCTTGAAGCTACACACGTGAAGTGCCGCGACATCGATCTGCCCCTCAGTTTGTTTTTTTCTTTCTTTCGTTTTGTTAAAGTTATCAATCCGTTAAGTTACACTGGACTAATTCAGGAACGACCAAGTTCCATTTTAAGCAGGCCGACAAGCCGTAAGACCTAACAACATTCTGTAGTCAGAGATGTCCCGTAATGTTAATATTTCCATTTCAACTCCTAAACTCATAGCTTACTTTTATTAGTTCTCCTATGCCGTATGAGTCAAATGCTTCCCACAATCGAACCTCCATTGCTCAGCCATTGTTTATTTTCCCTGTATTTAACCACCCGTTTATATCGCTTTAGTTAACATTAGTTAGAGAATAAATTCACTGTAATATAATCAAGAACTGTGTGTGTTGCCTATTTCCACGTCCCTGCCAAGAGAATTGACCCTTTAGATATGAGACTGACTTAAGATAATTTAGCGATTATTAAACTAACTGATCACTAGTAATAATTGTATAATTATTAAAAGCTACCTAGAGGTCCGGAGACTCTAGGATTATCACAACTCCAGTGGTAACCTGAAATGAGGAATATATTTTTGATTTTCTGAATATTAAAATTCATAATGGTATTAATTCTCATAAATTTATTAAAATTATTAAAACTATTAGCCATGCTACATATTGATAAAAATGCAATCAGTTACTGCAACCTAACAAGCCATAAGAAAAAAAGATCATGTTAGTAAAGATTTATAAATGTGCAACAAAACAAAAACATATTCATCATCAAAGCAATGCTTGGATGCAGGGGAAATTCCTGCCTTAAGTTAAAAGTGATAATTGAATCAACTCCAAATCAAAAGGTAAAAAATATAAAAATCCTCAAATCCAAGTGCTTCTGACTGTTGTAATCTTGACAATAAGCTATGTGAACAGTGCTGTTGGGTTTTTACCTGGAAGTCGTCAATAGATGGAGCAGAGCGCTGGTGGTGCGTCGGCGGTGCCACTGGTGAAGTGTCCCTGGTTTCAGAGCTCAGCACTCTGGCTGCCTGCTCCTCCTGGAAGTTTCTGATCAGGGACATGGCTCCATAGGCACTAGTCAGGTAGTAGCCACCTAGAAGTGAACACACAGAGGAAGAGGATAACAACATATTTTTGGATTATAAGATAACTTCGGCATTTCTTCAGTATTTGTTTTAGATGCTGTTTTGAAGGCAAAGGGTGGTCACACCAAAATTGATTTGATTCAGATTTTCTTCTGTTCATTCTCTTTTAATTTTGTTAATTGAAAAAATCTATTACTGTCTATTTTGAAAGCATTCTTACTTACAGCATTTTTTCCACA